TGGGATTAAATTCTTTTTGAAAATTATGCTTTGAATTAAATTACTTGTAGGTACAATGGATTATAAATAACATGGTGTGAGCTATTGAAATCCTCTGTGCTTTTCACCTGTGCTGTAATAAGGTACAGTGTAATTTGCAGTTGACAGATTTATGGACCCAGTGTAACAGTTCCAGAGTACAGCATGTAAAATTGTGACCTTTAAATTTAAATTTTTCTCTAACGTTGGCTGGTAAAAATTTTACTTTTACAATTGTGTGGCAACATCAGGACCTGTTCCTTCCTAGTAGTTCAGAATTCAGAAATCCCACAATTTTAAAATTAGAAGAGATCAATGTAGGTCCTCTAGTTTGTCTCCTCTTACTACCATTGGAAATGCCATATTCATATATCCGGGCGAGGTGAGAATCTCTCCTTTAATAAAAAGATCTGGAAAAATATTTTCTGTCAGAATGCACACCTGCCATTTAATAATTCTTATAGATTTCCACTCCAAACATTGTTTATTTTTGTCAAATACTAAAATATTACCTTTTACCCTCCTGTACTTGTTAAATTGACAAAAGTTTTCATGTCGTCAAGGATATTCTAGGGAAGTTTAGGGCAGTTTCACATAAAGGACTAATATATGTAGCCCTGAGATAATGTATAGCTTCTTGAATTTAATTTACGTAAATTAAATTATGTAAAATAATTGTGAAAGTTTAAGGAACACGTGTAAACACTAGGATAATATACTCCTATATCTGAAGTATGCTCTTCAGATACTAAAGAGCATTTGAAGTATTGAAACATAAGCTTGGAGACCCCCACTGAAAAGTATACAGCATCACTGAGAGGAAAGACTGCAGCTATAAACATGAAGTTTTGCTCATAAAAGAAAAACACATCCTTATACAGTACTTTTGGGAGAGTGAAGCAGGGATAAGTCGATATAACAAACAAACACACAAACTACACAACACGGTATTTTACTACCTCTGTCATGATTTGATGTTCAGGTATGCTACTAGTCAGTTCTTAAAAGATTCATTGAGAATGGAATACCTGCATAAGAAAATTTAAAAAGTATAAAACTGCCACAGTTTAATGTATTTGAATTTTGTCACAAACTAGCCCCTTTTGTTTGTCAACAACAAAAATTGGCTTTCTCTTTCCTGTGCTCTGCTCATCTCTGGTGATCTTTGGTTTTCCCTGTGGCGTTTCCTCACTCAAAGGATGGCAACCTGACTCCTCAGGGCATGGTTTGTAAATGGCAATCCTCTGAGCCCTATAATGTAATTTATTTGAAAATAAGGTCCCTATGTATAAACAAACCCACAAATAAACAAATAGAGGTAGATCCAAGAGACTTCCAGATTTAAAGCCCTCCAATTTTTCTGGAAAAAAAATGTTATGGAAGTCAATCATTTACTTTTCTAATACTGGCTAACTTCAAGCCCTAATCTGTCATATAAATGATAGCAAACAATGTATGGGGGCATGAAATCAAGCAACAGACTGTGTGATATAGACAATTTTTGGTATACAGTTAAGAGCCAAGGGACAATTGCTCTGAAAGGGGTGAAATGGCAAACGTTTATTGAGTACTAAACATGCTAAAGTGCTTCTCAGTGTCTCCCACCAATCATTTCATTTACTCCCACAATGGCTTTATGAGGTAGATGCAGTTACTGTATTCATTTCACACTGGGGAAAACTGAAACTCAAAGAGTTTATATGGCCAAGGGCGGTGGTCCCCAACCTTTGGCACCAGGGACCAGTTTCATGGAAGACAATTTTTCCACGGATTGGGGGAGGGGACCTGGGGGAGGTGGAGCTCAGGCGATGATGTGCTGCTGGTTCCTAACAGGCCACAGACTGGTACCTGGTCGCTGCCTAGGGGCTGGGGACTGCAGGCCAAGGGCGCAAGTAAATAAGGAGTAGAGCTGAGGTCAACACCAGGCAGTGTGACCTAACAAAAGGCTTCTATGTCCTTTTTTGATCTAGGTTCTCTGTCCTGGATGATCACATTTCATCCTGACCAAGCCTGAACTGGTGTGGAGAATGTACTAAATAGCCTACAATGTTTGAAGCTCCACCAAATGTTTAGTTATACTAAACTTTAGATTTTAGTTACCTACTCCTTATTTTTTTTAAACAATACTATTTAAAATTAGCATAATTTCTTTTCAAAAGGAATGCTTGGTCTTCAGTAGGAGATAACAAAGCAAAATATTTTATAATACTAACAAAGTTCAAATGCACAGAACACAGAATAAGCAACTAAAAATCTCAGCTCGCCGGCTAAGATACTTTTAGCAACCATTTAGTCAATAGCAGAATAAAGAAAGTCCAAAAGAAGTCAGGTGACTTACTACAAAGGCACACAGCATTATGATCCCAAAGCTGGCATCAGAAACCAGGATCTTTTCACTTCAATCTTCTTGCTATGAATGTGGTCATTGATATAGTAAAAATGCAAAATTGTTTATACTGTATCAAACCAAATGGCATACATTATATTTTCTAACATTATGTTATGCCCTATACCAGACTCTCAATTTT